ACTTTCCATTTCTATGTAGCAACATTCCAGCAGCGCCTGCATACGGAGTATATATCTCCCAATTGATACGATATTCCCGGGCTTGTGTTTCCTATCATGATTTCCTTGATAGAGGATTGCTGCTCACAAGGAAGCTATTAAACCAAGAGTTCCAAATGGTGAAGTTGAAATCATCCCTCCGTAAATTTTACGGACGCCATCACGAGTTGGTTGACCGTTATGGAATAACCGTTTCACAGATGATATCGGATATGTTCCTTATGTCGTAACTACAATACCCTTCCCTTTTCACGAATGTGACTTACCGAAATAGACTATTTACCGGATTTGTAATAACATAAGCAACACGACGGGTGCCACATGTGGAGCAGGATCTGCTTACCCTTCCGGAGCACCTGAGATCACCCCCAGTTTTTGGTGGGGTTCGTGTTGCTTAGTCTTTAGTTTTCTATGTTGTGTCATCTGTACTATTATTTGTCTGTTTGTCTTTTTATTTTTGGCCATGGCGTTGTCAGTTTGTTTTCGATCTATGAGTTTGACTGTCCCTCTGGTATCTTTCGCCCCTTTTTTGCAGACTATATGTTTTACTCAAGGGGCGAAGGAGGCAAAAATACCCACAACTAAAGGATAAAAAGACTTTGGAGAAACATTTTTAAAGGAGTTCTGTGTTATTTTTACAATATGCTTTGTCATATGGAAGATGAAGGTATTATAGACCCATTAAATTGAAAACACTTAGCAGCACTACATTACATTTGTTTGGACGAAATAAACATGAGGCTACAATTTTGGGCAGTAGCGTGGTCTAGTCACATAATCCGAACAGCAAACTCATTTCCTCTGAACTTATGGACATCTTGCCAATTGCAGAACACTTTAGAAATTTCCCTCAATTAAACAGATTTGCAAGATCATGGTGTAGAAGGATATGTTTACACCACCGTTAGAAATGGAGAGAGACCAATATTTGAGCCCCTTACAAATGCTGGCGAAAAATGCAGACAGACATTATTGAAGAATTAATTATAACCAATACCAAATTTGGAATTAATGATTTTCAAAGGTGTTTAGAGATCATAAATAGAACCTAGGTTTTCTTTTTATTATTAGTATTAAAATTTTTAAAACTGCAGTTATGATTTCAGCTGCCACTTACAGTCTTTTTTTTTCTGAAACTTGTGTAGGGCCTCGGTGACCGAGTGGTCTAAGTAGTCGAACTACTGTATCACTAGCATGTCAACACTAAGGTTGTGAGTTCAAATCCTGCACTAGTCAGGTGCACTCGACTCTAGTCTTAATTGACTAGGATTGTCAGTTTTCCTACCGAAGGTCGGTGGTTCACTCCATGCATTCCGGCTTCCTCCACCGATATAAACTGACCGCCACGAAATAGCACAATAGCGTTGAAAGTGGCGTCAAAACATCAATCAATCAATCAATCAATCTGAAACTTGTGTATAGTTTGGGCAAAATGTTATGGCAAGAGTCTCTTTTTAAAATATTTTATACCCTACACAAAAACGTTGATGGGTATAACCATTTAGGACAGCTTTGTGTTTGGACGAATCAGTTTTATCATATTCGGCTTCACTATAAGGAAAAAATATGAATTTTGCATGTCATGTGGGGGCAAGCAGACGTTTCCAATCTCCCAATGACTAACTTGGTGTTGGGATGCTTTTACTGGAGACTGTCAGCTTGCAACCAAAGTAGTGCATGACCAACACACTTCATTGACCTTTACTAAGATTCAGAAAAAAAATTAGAACTAGTCATTGGGAGATTGGAAACGTCTGCTTGCCCCCACATGACATGTAAGATTCGCATTTTTTCCTTATAGTGAAGGCCAAAATGATAAAACTTATTGGTCCAAACACAAAGCTGTCCTAAATGGTTATACCATTCAACGTTTTTGTGTAGGGTATAAAATATTTTTTTAAAAGAGACTCTTGCCATAACATTTTGCCCAAACTATACACAAGGTTCAGATTGATTGATTGATTGATTGAATGATGTTTTAACGCCACTTTCAACACTATTGTGCTATTTCGTGGCGGTCAGTTTATATTGGTGGAGGAAGCCGGAATGCCTGGAGTGAACCACCGACCTTCGGTAGGAAAACTAACAATCCTAGTCAATTACGATTAGAGTCGAGTGAACCTGCCTAGTGCGGGATTTGAACTCACAACCTCAGTATTGACAGGCTAGTGATACATTAGTTCGACTACTTAGACCACTCGGCCACCGAGGCCCTACACAAGTTTCAGAAAGAAAAGACTGTAAGTGGCAGCTTAAATCATAACTGCAGTTTTACCCTTTTTAATAATAATAATAAAAAGAAAACCTAGGTTCAATTTATGATCTCTAAACACCTTTGATAATCATTAATTCCAAACTTGGTATTGGTTCTAATTAATTCTTCAATAATGTCTGTATGCATTGTTCTCAAGCATTTGTAAGAGGCTCAAATATTGGTCTGTATCCATCTTCAACGGTGGTGTAAACATATCCTTCAACACCATGATCTTGCAAATCTGTTTAATTGAGGGAAATAGCTAAAGTTTTCTGCAATTGGCAAGATGTCCATAAGTTCAGAGGAATAGAGTTTACTGTTCGGATTATGTGACTAGACCACGCTACTGCCCAAAATTGTAGCCTCCTGTTTATTTCGTCCAAACAAATGTAATGTTGTGCTGCTAAGTGTTTTCAATTTAATGGGTCTATAATACTTTCATCTTCCATATGACAAAGCATATTGTAAAAATAACAAAGAACGCCTTTAAAAATGTCTCTCCAAAGTCTTTCTATCCTTTGGTTGTGGGTATTTTTGCCTCCTTTGCCCCTTGAGTAAAACATATAGTCTGCAACAGACACGTTTTCTAGTCCTTACTCAGATCTTACTCTAAAAGTAATACCGCAATCAGCAACACCAGACAAGTTACAGTCTAAAACGATCTTGGATGTGTTGTTGTCGGCACATTTTAGAAACATAACCAGTCTACTGAAACCATCAATACTAACAATGCATCAGCATATAATAATAAAGTATCATAATTACAAAGTATCAGCATATAATGACAAAGAATCATCTTATAATGACAAAGTATCAGCATATAATGACAAAGTATCAGCATGATAAAGTATCAGCATGACAGAGTATCATAATGACAAAGTATCATCATATAATGATATCGCCGCGATATAGCCTTGTTGTGCTAATGTGGCGTAAAGCAACCAACAATCAATCAATCATATAATGATAAAGTATCAGCATATAATGACAAAGTATCAGCATGACAAAGTATCAGCATGACAAAGTATCATAATGACAAAGAATCATAATGACAAAGTATCAGCATATAATGATAAAGTATCAGCGTATAATGACAAAGTATCAGCATGACAAAGTATCATAATGACAAAGTATCAGCATAAAAATGATAAAGTATCAGCATATAATGACAAAGTATCAGCATATAATGATAAAGTATCAGCATATAATAACAAAGTATCATCATAGCATAAAATTGAACACATAAGACAGCTACGGCGTTCCATAAGAGAACGTCTGTCATAACGTTGTCACATGTTTTGGCGTATATATATATTGATATAGTTCCTCAGATAAATATGAATAATACAGTAGATATCCTTGTCAATTTGGGTTGTCCTGTATTGTTTTGCTTTAACTAATTATAAGCTCTTCACTAAAAGAGGATGTTAATAACACTAACGGTACCAATTTTTCTGACTAATGAAAATATAGATACAGTCAGCTGGATTCTACTTCGTCAAAATTATCCCCCCATTACGCCACCTAATTTTTATAATCGTAAAAATGGAAGCTATTGTAGTGATGACGCGCTGTCAATTTAGCTCTTGAAAACCGATAAATTTCTCCACATAGCATCATTACGATCCTGATATGCCAGTTTTATTTTAAAAGACAAATGTATCTATTAACTATTTAGCTCATTTCATGTACTTTTGTGCATTTGGTCAACTTAAAACTATTGTCTGATCGGTTGTCAGGGGGAATTTTCGAAAGTTCAAAAATATTTAAAACAATTCTAAATAAATATTTCGTGGGAGGGCAGACTAAAAAATTTCAGAGGTTGATAATTAATTACCCAAGATAACACACACAAAAAATGAAATTTTTTTTAAGTTATGAGTTTTTAAGATCCACTTGAAAAGTCTGTCGTCAAGTACTTTTAGTAAAAATTTGTTATTCGAACACACCTACTCTGTTGTTATGACTCATTAGAAAGGTATTTCACTTGACCCATATATTTCATTTTTTAGTACTGTAAATTTTTAATGTTATTATATCAACCTAGAGCCTAAATATATAAAAATAATAGAAACTGAAGCGAGATGATGTATCAAATATTTTTCTTTGATACGTTTTCAAGACAGAATAGTCAACTCAAACACGCCTAAACAGTAAAAGGTGTACTCGACTTTCTCTTTTCGATGAAATTATTGCCCATTTTGGGGATTTTTTTCCCAAAAAACTGTCGCTGGGGGCAGAGATGCAAATAATGCTTTAAAAAGATCAATCTATTATCTTTCTTTGGATTTTTTTTTTCTGCGGAGTTTATGCTTATGCACAAAAAAGATCAACATGTATTTGCACCTACCACAATCGACTGTTTTGTGAAAATTTGTCTATAAGTTAAAAGTTTACAAATATCTCGAAGCTCCATACCATAATTAAAGTAAAAACACATACATAAAATGCACAAAATCCTAAATTAGGAACATTCATTAAACTTTTAAAGCCCATAGAAACAGATGTAAACAATTCCAATTTACCAACTTTGCCTTTTTAACCTTCTCTAACAAAGAGTTCCATTTCTTTTGTTTAATTTCAATTGGGTTTCCGCCTGAGATACAGACGAAAAAAATTCAAAAGTGCAAAATAAAAAGAAAGGTTTTAACTTTAAATCTTCACACACAAACTATACTTTCATACAGATATATATTTTATTTTGTAGTTTCCCTTGGTGCTTTAGAAATATCCCTTTTGTATGATTCTAATGACAATGCACTGCATTGTACAGTTGTTCGTGCTAGGGTAAGTATTTGATATTTTAATTATTGTTTATGACATAGCATTTGTACATTTGATAGTTGTAAGCGGGCATATTCATTATGCAATAATCAAAGATACACAGCTCTCTTCCAAGGCCATAAGGGAAAATAGCAATGGAACATCTCAAAGTAATGTACCATAGGACAAGTAAATCAAGCCCACACTGCTTGCAAATAATTGGAAATAGTTAGTCAGCTAACTACAAAATAGTTCAAGTATTAAATTAGAAGGCAAAATTAATATTTGTATTTGAATCAAATGTATTATGCATGTTACTTTCCAGTAACATTAATTGTAAGGGAAGGAATGGAAAACTTGTTTAACTAGATGGCATGGTGCCTGAAAATATACTAACTACCAAGAGGCATTTATTGTTCCTTGATAGGAATTTTTAAATCTGAAGAAAAGATTGCAAAATTTGTTGAATAATTATATTCTCTTTAATGTTTTAGGCATTAAAGGCCATGGATTCCAACGGACTGTCAGATCCATATGTAAAACTGCATTTACTGCCTGGTGCAAGTAAGGTAATATAAATAGATGTACAATTAAAGGCTTTTGAAATATAGAATATGCAAAAAAGGGCCATTAGCTACGAATTCGACAAAAAAAATGAAATATGTTTTTTTTTGTTCTAAACATTTATAAAAGTGGATTAAAGAAATTATATTCTGCTATTAGCAGTCGGTTTGGTTCAATTTCGTCAATATAAGCTGTAAAACCATCACTGGTGATTTGCAAGTCGATAATTCAGATCATTTGAATCCGTATTCATGCACAATTTTAATTTTACCTTTAAAGGAGATGGGTGCACATGTGTTCATCGTGTGGTTCATTTATTACAAAGAAAATGTGTACATTGAAAAGTGAAATTAGGAACCACCAGGAATAATAATTTCGTTGACAAATCCGGCCCACAAAAAATATTCTTATATGTAGGTAAAACGATGATTCACATATATTTTTAACCTTCACAATGAAAGCAAACAGACTTCGAAAAATCCGATTGCACGTATTTCTAGTTATGTTTGTATCGGATAATATGACCGTCGGTAGTCTTCGCATGTCATCTCGATGGATAATCATATGGCGTCTGGTCTTAAATACGTACGAAATGCTGATACGTTATAGCCTGCCCATGCATTGTTAATTGTTGTTTTTTTTCGGACTTTTTGTAATTTGGATATAAGTATGTTATAAATAAAGTATGAGAATTGGGTCAAATCGGAAAACATGAATTTAACAGCTAATGCCCGTTCAAGTGCAATATAGTCTTGAAAAAAAATGTATGAAAAACATTGTAAAAGAGGGACGAAAGATACCAGAGGGACAGTCAAACTCATAGATCGAAAACAAACTGACAACGTCATGGCCAAAAATAAAAAGACAAACAGACAAATAATAGTACAGATGACACAACATAGAAAACTAAAGACTAAGCAACACGAACCCCACCAAAAAGTGGGGGTGATCTCAGGTGCTCCGGAAGGGTAAGCAGATCCTGCTCCACATGTGGCACCCATCGTGTTGCTTATGTTATTACAAATCCGGTAAATAGTCTAATTCGGTAGGTCACATTCGTGAAAAGGGAAGGGTATTGTAGTTACGACATAAGGAACATATCCGATATCATCTGTGAAACGGTTATTCCATAACGGTCAACCAACTCGTGATGGCGTCCGTAAAATTTACGAAGGGATGATTTCGACTTCACCATTTGGAACTCTTTGTTTAATAGCTGCCTTGTGAGCAGCAATCCTCTATCAAGGAAATCATGATAGGAAATACTAGCCCGGGAATATCGTATCAATGTAAATAAACATCTGTGATAAGACATGATCACAAATTAAAAAACACCTATGACGTATATGGTTTGTTCAAATGCTCCATTATTTTATAAGAATGAAGAGTTATTTTCTATTGTTCATCTTCGTTCATCTTGAAATTTTGGATATTTCCATGAACACTCTTAAAAAGTGTTCACTCAGGAAAATATTTGAAAAGGATGTAACGAGATATTGAATTAAGGTGAAAAAGTACAATTGACACCAAGTATTTTCCTTGTTAACAAACAATTTTTGTTTGAGAGTCTTTATTCCATCGTATGATATATAGTATGGTAGTCACTGAAAATCAACAACAAAATCAGCTGTCAACGATGCACATTACACCTCAGATTCTATTTGAATTATAAGAACAGTTCAATAATCAAACATTTATTATATGCTGCATTTCCTTGCAAAATTTCTCTCACAGATAGTATCCAAGCAAGAAAAAACGAATACTATCCAATGCGTGTCATTCCTCTTCTTTTGTAATATTGAAAACATTAACGTAATTGAATAATGAAAGTTAAAGAAAAAAATGTGCCTCACTGAATTATTTATTTTTTTTAAATTTAACCGTTTAGGATGTCATCTCCTTAATTATTTAATTTCGAACAGCAAAAATGTGATGCATTTAAATACATTAGAAAGGAGGGAATACGTGGCAGCTGTAAATGATACATGAATTGATTATACTTTCTAGTTATACAATAATGGTGTATTTAGAACAAATAGTTCAAGCAACTGAAATGGTCTAATTTGATGGGTCTTTTGAAGACGAAGCGAGCGTCTGGCATACAAAAATTTAAGCCTGGTATCTATGATGAGTTTATTTGCGTATAAGGTCTAATTTAAATGTTCCGATTGTTTTAATTTTGATACAGTTCTAAGAGGTAATCATTTAGGGGTGTGAATAAAATTAAAATAAAGATACTGTTTATATTAAATTTTCGATAGAAACATGTAACAATCGATTTTTATGGAACGCCGCAGCTGTCTTATGTGGAACTCTGATATTACGTTATGTTGTTCTGTTATTACTTGATGATAGTTTGTCTTTACATAATATGATTTTGACATTATGTAATAATGTTTTGATATAACTCAATATGGAAAAGTCATTACTTAATGATATTCCGATATTACATGATATGGTTTCGTATTGACTTGATGTAGTTTTGTCATTACTTAATATGGTTTTGTCATTACTCGATGTGGTTTCACCATTATTTAATGTGGTTGTGTCATTAGGCAATGTGGTTTTAACATTACTTGATGTGTATGTGACTTGACGTATTGTAGTTGTTTCATTACATGATGTGGTTTTGTTATTTCGTAATGATGATTTGCCAATTCTTTATATGGTTTTAAGATTACGTGATGATGTTTCAAAATTTGACGATTTTACACTACATGATGTGTTTGTTTCAGTAATTGATGTGGTCATGTCATTATTTGATGTGGTTATCCCATTACTACTACGAGGTAAAACCACGTGACCATTTTGGAAAAAATATGTTCTATTTTTAGACCGATTTCCATATGTCGTTTGTGTAATGCGCTTTGGATGAGTACCGCTATCCATTAAGTTAAAGTTCAAATTAAAGTTCAAGTTGTTGTTCAGAGTTATTTGTATGAAAAAAAGGAACAACAGACAAAAATAAGAAAAAAAGTACTAAAAATTTAACAGTAATTCGCACATACCCCAAACCATTTGGTCCTGCCGTTTTTATACGACCGCAAAAATTAAAAATTTTTTGGTCGTATATTGGTATGACGTTGGCGTCGTCGTCGTCCGGCGTCGTCGTCGTCGTCGTCGTCGTCGTCGTCGTCGTCGTCTGGCGTCGTCCGGCGTCGTCCGAAGACACATTGGTTTTCGCACTCTAACTTTAGTTTAAGTGAATGGATCTCCATGAAATTTTACCATAAGGTTCAATACCACGAAAGGAAGGTTGGGATTGATTTTGGGGGTTATGGTACCAACAGTTAAGGAATTAGGGGCCAAAAAGGGGCCAAAAATAAGCATTTTTGTAACTTCCAGACAATAACTTGTGTGTAAGTGTATGGATCTCTCTGACATTGTACCACAAGGTTCCATATCACAAAGGAAAGGCTGTAATTGATTTTGGGGGTAATTGCCTCAAAATTTTAGGAATTAGGGGCCAAAAAAGGGGCAAAAAACAAGCATTTTTCTAGTTTCATGACAATAACTTGTGTGTAAGTGTTTGGATATTTCTGAAATTGTACTACAAGGTTCCATATCACAAAGGGAAAGCTGGAATTGAGTTTGGGGGTAATTGCCCGAAACGTTTAGGAATTGGGGGCCAAAAAGGGGCCAAAAATAAGCATTTTTCTAGTTTCCAGACAATAACTTGTGTTCAAGTGTATGGATCTCTCTGAAATTGTACTGCAAGGTACCATACCACAAAGGGAAGGCTGGGATTGAGTTTGGGGGTGATGAATCATAAGGGGGTTCAAAAAATTTGGGGGGGATTTTTTTATTTTCTTTTTTTTTTTTCTTTTTTTCCTTTTTTTTTCTTTTAAAATTTTCCATTTTAAGTTGGTTATTTCTGTTTAATATTTAAAAGCAAATAATAATGATATGGTAGGAGATACACACCAAACAGGATGTGTAAATTATTATATAATAAGTATTGTGCAATAGCAAGAAATTTTCAATTGCACAGTATTGCACAATAGCAAGAAATCTTCAATTGCACAGTATTGCGCAATAGCAAGAAATCTTCAATTGCACAGTATTGCGCAATAGCAAGAAATATCCAATAGCACAATATTGCGCAATAGCAAGAAATTGTCAATTGTACAGTATTGCGCAATAGCAAGAAATATTCAATTGCACAGTATTGTGCAAAAGAAGATACTTCGTATAAATTGCTTATTTCTTGATCAATTTCAATGGGGTTTTATTCTTGAATTCTTGGGGTTCTTTAATATGCTGAATCTAACTGCGTATTAAGTTTTTGGATTTTGGGCCCCGTTTTTAAATTGGTCCACATTGAGGTCCAAAGGGTCCAAAATTTAACTTTGTTTGATTTCATCAAAAATTGAATTATTGGGGTTCTTTGATATGCTGAATCTAACCGTGTATTTAGATTCTTAATTTTTGGTTCCGTTTTCAAATTGGTCTACATTAAGGTCCAAAGGGTCCAAAATTAAACTTAGTTTGATTTTAACAAAAATTGAATTTTTAGGGTTCTTTGATATGCTGAATCTAAACATGTATTTAGATTTTTGATTATGGGCCCAGTTTTCAAGTTGGTCCAAATCGGGGTCCAAAATTAAACTTTGTTTGATTTCAACAAAAATTGAATATATGGGGTTCTTTGATATGCTGAATCTAACCATGTATTTAGATTTTTGATTTTTGGGCCCCGTTATCAACTTTGTCCACATTGAGGTCAAAAGGGTCCAAAATTTAACTTTGTTTGATTTCATCAAAAATTGAATTATTGGGGTTCTTTGATATGCCGAATCTAACCGTGTATTTAGATTCTTAATTTTTGGTTCCGTTTTCAAATTGGTCTACATTAAGGTCCAAAGGGTCCAAAATTAAACTTAGTTTGATTTTAACAAAAATTGAATTTTTAGGGTTCTTTGATATGCTGAATCTAAACATGTATTTAGATTTTTGATTATGGGCCCAGTTTTCAAGTTGGTCCAAATCGGGGTCCAAAATTTAA